AGATTTGAAACATTGCTAATGTGATTTGTATCTCTTCTAAACAACAACAACAATTTCATGATATTCAATAAATAAACAAATCAGTCACATCACTGAATATGATACAGAATGTTAGAATATGATGAAGTTCAATATATAAGATGACTGTTTGAGCTCTTTGATTGTGTCAGATAATTGATCATTGAGTACAACACTCTGATCAGAAAAAGATCCAGATATTGAAACTTTCTGATATGAAGTAAACTCAGTTGAAATATATGATTGATTTACTGTTTCAGTTTTATAAGACAATAAAGACAGTCTCAATCACTTGTACATCAGTGCTGCAGTCAGCCTGGTGAGTGTATAACAGTTTATTTACTCATCTTGAGAAGCAGTTGAATCACTCAAAAAGAAATTCAGTCTGAGATGATGCTATAGTGCAGGCTATTGTTACTGCAAGGAATAAACTGATATATTACTACAGCAAAATGAAACAATCTTTTGCAGAGTACTATGCTGTAGCAGCTCTACTAGATTCCTTCTGTTGAGTTAACATCTACACTTCTCAAGATTGAACAGAGAAGAAATGAGACTCATATATCAAATTAGCCTGAGACTACTACAATATCAACTATCAGAGATTTGAATAAGCAGATGTTTGAGATGTGAAGACAGTGGAATACAATTCTCTAGTAAGTAATGATCTTTGGTAACACTTCATATCACATAGAACTATAATACTAACTTTGAAACAGAACTTGCATACATTGATTGCAACTGAAAATCAGGCAAAACTATATACTTGTAAAACTGAATTTGACTGCTATCTTCAAGATGATCTGACAAATTTACATGTCAAATCAATTCTAGAGTTATGAAAAATTATTGAGAGTACATATTCAACTATTGCACTGATGACATGTGATATTCTGACAATTTCATTGACAGAGGTGAGAATGAAGTGAAAGTTCAACTCAAGTTGAGATATTTATCACTATCACTGAGGACAATTACAAGGAGAAACAATCAAGAAACTCATGATTGTAAAACATGAAATTATCAGACAGTTTAATACCTCTGATCACAGTATATCAGAGAAGTGTAGTTTTCATGAGAAAGTGAAGAATAAACTTGCACAAGAATGTATTTAGTTGTTTCATGAGTGTTATCAATAATTATTATTAAATTCTGATTATATAAGCAAACACTGAATGAACTGAATAAGACTGATTTTGATCTTCAGTCTCAGTTCCATTCTGATTTTGAAAGAATGATCATCTTTCACAGTTTATTCTGGAAAATTACTCTCATTTCACTGTTCTTGAATTAAATCTGGTCATTTTTCATGTCATTTCTCTCAGAAATGGTCCATTTTCAGATTTTTTTGAGGCTTGGTCCTGGTGGGACTCACATCAAGAAATGTATGAGACCAGATCAAATGGGACCAAATGTGAAATTCATGATCCCGCCGGCCAGTCTAGTAGTGCATATCTTAGCAGTTTCTATCTCATTCTTCTGCAGCAGTTAATGCAAAAAAAAAAGATCTTAGAAATAGTTTTTTACTTCTCTTGAAAAAGTAAGGTGTTTTTCTCTGGGTTTTACACAATATTCTTACAAAGAATTAAAAACAGAGTTGTTTTCTATCATAATTTCATATTCTTTTAAGTAAGAATTACTTTTTCAGTGGCTGAAGAGCTTTCATTAATACTTAATTCTTTTTTACACTCTTTATTAACTGATTTGAGTTGCACACTTGTTGTGTGAGGAGAATTGAATG